GAGGCTGCTGGAGGGTCTGGGTAACAGCGGGCCAAGGACAGGCCAGAGCTGCGAGCACAGGCTGCTCCATCCGCTGTGGGGAACATCAAGGTTGGCAACAGGAGGTTTTCAGGGGATCCGTGACCCTGCTGCTGAGCGCTAGTGGCTTCAGAAACCCTGGAAGAAAACGAGTGTCCTCTCTGAATCGCTACAGCCAGCTTGCCAGCACTCCCTTTGCCGTGAACCTTTACCGTGACAGCAAGCTGCCCCTCGAGGCGAGGAGATTTATATTTGTACGGGGTAGGTTTTTGGGCAGAAAGACACAACTGCTTTGAGCTGCGTTCCTCCAGCACCAGCACTTGTTTCAGGCAGCACTGCCAGGAGGGATCCAGCTCCTGCCAGAGGGTCCAGCCTCTTCACATCAGGAGGAGGAGGAAAGGAACCCGGTGGCAGCCAGCTGCTCCTGTAAGCACTGCCCTCGTCCCCCAAGAAGACAACCACACCATCCACCTTGGTAAGTGTTTAATTGCACTGTGAGCAAACAGCACGTTAACATCGGGTCACAACAGAACTTGAACAAAATGAAGTGGTCTCTCGGCTTAAAAGTGGCAACAGAGAGCAGAAGGTAGTGCTATAAACCAGCTTCCCTGCCTCCTCCTACCAGCTACACCTTCACTCCTTTAGTGGTTCACTTCAGCGAAGGGGAGGCACTGGCCATTTGAGGGTAAAAAAAAAAAAAAAAAAAAAAAAAGGGGGAGGGCCATGAGGTTTCCCTTAGACTGCCATCTCCTCTCCTGGAAAGGGGAGACTACGCAGCCACCACCAACCCACAAGTGGTTCTGTACCCACACCGCTGCCGCCAACGCCTCGCCAGTACAGCGGAGACCCTCTGAAGTGACACTAACTCGCAAAGGCTTTGGTTTCCCTTAAGCAGGTCAGCCTGGAGGGGGTGGCCCTGACAGGGACACCTTGTCAGCAGCTCAGCTAGCGATCGCCTGTACCTACGGGAGTCAGCTGAAGCACAGCACGGGTCTGGACCACACCGACACGGAAGCGGGTTCAGGCCAGGGACAGCGACAGGGCTACGGTCCCAGCGGGCAGGGTGGGAGCAGTTGGGTTCAACTCACTAATCAAACAAAACTACACCGACGTGCTCTTGCCTGGCCTGGCCTCCAGGGGACACAGGGGGTGCTGCACAGTGCTTCTTCGGGTCCCCTCGCCCTACTTCCCCGACAGCTGCTCGTAGAGCTTTGGCACGTAGTCATCCCACTCGGCCTGGTAGCAAGTGCCAGCCACCGGCACCCCCAGCTCATACTTGCTGCGGAAAGAAGCCACCTTGAACTTCCCTCGCTTGTCACCAGAGCGGTTAGAGAGGATGGGCTCGTTGCAGGTCAGCTGCTTCGGCTGCTCGTACACCAGCCACACGTAGCGGTGCAGCCCTGCGGGGAGGAGACAGCGTTAGCCCTGCCAGCCTCCCAGGGGTAAGGTTTGCTCCGCAGCGACCCCAGGAGCGCAGGGAAGCAGACACCTGCGTCCTCCAGGATCAGAAAGCCGCCTAGGATGGAGCTAAGGGGGCTTAGAGAAGACCTTTTCACTGGGGCAAGAGACGGAGATGGCTATTACACAGCAATGTTTCAAGATTTTATAAAGCTATGTAAAAGATTCAAAGCAGCTAAAATTCTTAATGTTTATAGTTTGTTCAAGACTTTAAAATGGAAGGTGCCATTTAACTGATGGCATGCTAATACAAATTAGCAGTTTTCAAGCCTTCTTCCTGAAAAATGAGATGTGCCCCCCCGAGCAGGCAACGCTGCCTACCCGCTGCAGGCAGAACAGCACTGGCCGGTCACCAGACATAGCCCCGGCCACCAGCAGCTGCAGAGAGTCCTGCATGGGCCGTTTCTGCCACACACCACACGCCCAGCAGGCGGGCACTCGGTTTGCTGCAGGCCTGCCCCCCCCTCCCCTGCACACCGCAGCTGGGGTGGGGGCTGCTGCAGCCAGGTACCGACCTGTTCCTTTGGGAGGGCCGGAGCCGACGTAATCGGACAGCACAGTCCCACTGCCCACATTGTTGCCTTTCATGTTGGTCACTAGGAAGTGATGCCATTCCCTGAAAGGAGAAGGCAAAACCCAATCCATCAGCCTGCGTCACAGCCCCTGCTAAGACCCTTCGTGAGTCCAAGGTGCTGCTTTTCCCTAAGGCTGTCAGTGCAGGGTAACCGAAGCTAACAGCTGCCGCTCCTCGTTTGCCAAACCCAAAGAGCAGCAGCCCTAGAGCAGGTACTCTCTCCTTCAGTATGCAGAGCCTGTCAAAACAAGCTCTGTCATCCTGCCTTGGGGCACCAGGAAACCCAGAGCGTGACCCCCAAGAGTGGCGTTCCACACGCTTCTGAGCCTGACTTGAGAAAGGTGAGCTGCTCCCAGGTTTAAGACTCCACTGTTAGCACAGACAGACCTAATTCCAACTCGCGCACGTGCCAAATTAGAGCAGATGCTGTGCTTCTCCAAGCTACAGCAGACCTCCAAACACCCCTGGCAAAAGCAGCTGCTCCTCCCCACGCTGTGCCTGTCTCAAGGAGAGGTACAAGGGCACTGCTTCCATCCCCAAGCCACAGCCTCACTGCTGCACCTTAGGCAGAGCACTCTCCCCGACCTCCTTCCAAGCCTCTGCTCAGACCAAGAGGGATGCTCCATTCTCCCCAGGCAAGACAGGAATTACCTGAACTTTGGGTCCTTCCTACTGGGAGCATCTGGGTCTGTGAGAACCAAGGTGTAAAGCTTCTGGGGATCGCAGCCATCCCACTCAATGCTGGTGGGGCGATGCTGGACCTGGAGGGATGACAGCGTTAGCACCGCTGCCTGCACCACGCAGCCTG